CCCCTCTGCCCCCCAGGTGAGCTTCCCGGATGTGGAGCGGGCAGAATGGCTGAACAAGGTGAGGTGTCCGGCTGTCCTTCCCTCCCTCCGTCACTCCATCCTTCCCTTCCTCCATCCCTGCATCCCTTCCTTCCCCCATCCAGCCCTCCATCCCTTCCTCCATCCATCCATCCCTCCATCTCTCCATCCTTCCCTTCCTGCATCCCTGCATCCCTTCCTTCCTCCATCCCTGCATCCCTGCATTCCTCTCTTCCTCCAGCCATCCATCCCTGACTCCATCCCTGACTCCATCCCTGCATCCCTTCATCCCTTCCTGCATCCATCCCTCCATCCTTCCCTTCATCCCTTCCTCCATCCATCTCTCCATCCCTCCATCCTTCCCTCTCTCCATCTCTCCATCCCTGCATTCCTCTCTTCCTCCAGCCATCCATCCCTGACTCCATCCCTGACTCCATCCCTGTATCCCTCCATCCCTTCCTGCATCCCTTCCTCCATCCATCCATCCCTGCATCCCTCCATCCTTCCCTACGTCCATCCTTCCATCCCTTGCATCCCTCCATCCCTCTCTTCCTCCATCCTTCCCTCCATCCATCCTTCCATCCCTGCATCCCTCTCTTCCTCCATCCTTCCTTCCATCCATCCTTCCATCCCTGCATCCCTCTCTTCCTCCATCCATCCTTCCATCCCTGACTCCATCCCCGGATCCCTCCAACCCCGCATCCCTCCCTTGATCCCCACATCCCTCTCTGCATCCTTCCATCCATCTCTGCTTCCGTCCATCCATCCCGCTGTCCCTCCATCCATCCCTGCATCCATCCATCTCTCCATCCTTCCCTGCATCCCTCCCTTCCTTCATCCATCCCTCCAACCCCGCATCCCTCCCTTGATCCCTACATCCTTCCCTGCATCCTTCCATCCATCTCTGCCTCCATCCATCCATCCATCCATCCCTTCGTCCCTCTGTCTCTCCACCCCTCCATCTGTCCCTCCATCTGTCCCTCCATCCATCCATCCATCCCTCCATCCATCCATCCATCCCTTCGTTCCTCTGTCTCTCCCCCCCTCCATCCGTCCCTCCATCCATCCGTCCATCCCTCTGTCCATCCGTCCCTCCATCCATCCCTCTGTCCATCTGTCCATCTGTCCCTCCATCCATCCCTCTGTCCATCCATCCCTCCATCCCTCTGTCCATCTGTCCCTCCATCCGGCTGCCGCAGGTCCTGGCCCAGGCCTGGCCCTTTTTCGGGCAGTACATGGAGAAGCTGCTGGTGGAGAACATCGCCCCGGCCATCCGCGCCTCCAACACCCACCTCCAGACCTTCACCTTCACCAAGGTGGACATGGGCGAGAAGGTAGGGCTCCCCTCGGGGCGGGGGGGTGCCCCCATTGCCCCCCTCCATCAATCCCACCCCCCCACTCACCGCTGCCCACCCCCCCTCGCAGCCTCTCCGGGTCCTGGGGGTCCGGGCTCACCCCGGTGCCCACAAGAAGCAGATCCTGCTGGACCTCAACATCAGGTGAGGGGCCGGAGCCACCCGTGGGGCGAAGACATCAGGTCTCAGTCCCCAAAATCCCCATCACCCCTCTCACCCCCACCACACTGGGGTCTCCCACCACTTGGGGAGGCAATGGGGGGGTCATGGTGAAGACCCCCCCCCG